ATATTATATTGAATAATATTTTATTTTTAATTATAAGATTTTAAACCGTGCGCGCGTCATCATATATGTGACCATGCAACACTGGTCTGCTGGTTAGATATAGATAGATAGAGTGAGATAACACCTAAAGTCAAAGGCCCTCTATTATCGAAAAAACGAGATGGACATTTTCTCTGGTCGACGATGACAATGACAATAACGACGTATCTTAAAAATGAAACGTGAAAATTCACAGATCCGGACTTTGCGTCGCGATATCTCCGCTCGTAGGGCACGTAGAAAAAAAATGAAAGCACTTTTATCATACAATTTAAGTTTTTCCTGTCGATTGAGCATATGTAGAACTTGATCGGTTCAGCCGTTACTGAGATCTGATCATCTCGACCCCGAAAAATTCTCAGTTTTGCGTAAAGGAGGCACGGCAGTGTCGCGCGCTTGGCTTAGCGCCGAGACACTACCGTGTCTCCAGATTTCAAGACAAGACTCTGCGCTCGGCGATTAGGCGGTCGCTTATATTGAGTTTGATGGTGTCGCTTTTGGTCTTCGATCGGAATATTACCATATATGGTAATATTCATCGCACTAGAGGCGCGATCGCGTGATTAAAGAATGTGCAATCTTGCACTTTTGCTGTCGGTTGCAATACCGAGTGCATTTAGGTATTTCGCGCGCTATGATCTTAGATCGACGCTTTGTCGCGCGCGGTTTAAAGAATGTGCAGACTTGCATTTCCGGTGCCGGTTGCTATGCCGGTTGAAATGAAATAATTAATAAAATAAGTGATAGCCATTCGGGCTATAACAAAGCATAAAACACAAGCAAAGAAAGAAAATGTAATTGTAAAAGACACTATTACTACAACTGCAGATCAATTATCTAAAATCATGCTACAAGAAGGACTGATAATTCTTCAAGTGATTGGCACATTATTATATATATTACCAACTGTGAAATTAGCATACTTTAGTCTGTTGGCTGATGTACCTGAAAAGGAAAAATTATCCATAGGCAGTATTATAAACAAAGCCAAAGTTCTATACAGAGAATCTGCTGGGATAATTTTTAAATTATCTAAATCTGGATTACGTGGATTTGTTTCTTTACGAAGAACCAATGTCCCATTTGCTAAAATTCCAACCAAATTCAAAGAAGGTTCCACACGTGTAGAATACTTGCATATAGCGGGATGGAACATTTTTATGTCTGTACAATGGAAGAAGAAATTTTAAAGCAAAAATATTTTTTAGCTTCTGATCTTAATATTGGTGATATTCTTACTGTAACCATTATGCACATTGAAACATCTCGTACTTATATACATGTACAAGTAGGAAAGATTCGGGGATTTGTTCCAATGGAACACTTATCCGACAGTGGCTTAAGTACTCTCTATAAATTGAAAGTCGGAGATAATGTCGAAGCAAGAGTCTTAGAGAAAAGTAAAAATACAGTAAAATTTACGTTGAAACAGTCGCTAATAAAGAGCAAATTGCCAGTTTTACATGATTTTGACGCATGCGGATTAAATATCAAATGCGCTAGTCTCTATTTCACTTTCATCAACAGAATCTTCGTCTGATTCAGAGAGAGAATTTTCATCTATATCTTTTATTTTACTTTCTTTCTCTTCGACTTCCATTTTATTTTACTTATTATTTTCTTTTTTCGGGACTTGCTTTGGCACTTTCTTCAAAACTTCCTTCGGAGCTTCCTTCAGTGATTTCTTTGGTGAATTTGCAAGATCTACATCGTCTCGCTCAGACATCTTTTTTCTCTTTAATTGCTTGTTTTTAGTAGATAGTAATTCTGTTACAATCTTATTTTTTGGAATTTCGAATGCAGACTTTAGCATACAAATCGGCATAATGTCAGATTCGACTCCCGTCATTATGACGTACAACCGAATCTTGGCATGAATTTTATAAGGTGTTAAATCGGGAAAATAGTCGTTGACGTGTCGACGAACAGGTAATGCCGCCAAATATCCTGTACCATTACGTTTCACGAGAACAAGTATCAACCATTTAGTAATCATTAGAATCTCTGCTTTTAATGCGATTCCAGTGGGTAATTCTAATAGTGTTTTTTGCTTCGAACTAATGCTGTTTATTATTCTTGGTAGCAAACACACGTTGACAAATTCATGGAGTTAGCGGGACGATTGCGTATTCCAGAACTTGGATTTTCTTGGGATGACAAAACAAAATTGGCCGTTTTTTCTAATGCTGAAACGTCTAGCGATGACGAGCAAGAGCTCAAAGAAGACCTTAAACAAAAGAAGAAGAAACTGAATGCGACTGAGCGACGGGAACAGGAACGACAGGAAGAACGGGAGATTCGTCAGCGAGAGGAAGCTTTGATGAGCAATCGGGCACCTAATTCGATCGATCAGTTCGACAGATTAATTTTGTCGAGTCCTGATAGCTCGTTAGTGTGGTTGCAATATATGGCACATCATTTGCAAGCAACAGAAATCGACAAGGCGAGAGCAGTCGCAAAACGTGCAATTAAAACGATAAATTTCAGAGAAGAAAACGAACGTTTAAATGTATGGAACGCATGGCTGAATCTGGAATCCAGATACGGCAACGTCGAATTCTTAAATGATGTATTCCGGGAAGCTGTGAGAACAAATGATGCATATAAAGTATATATGCACATGTTGACTATACATGCAGATGCCGGTAGAAAAATCGAGCTTGAGAAATTGATAGATACCGTGATTAGTAAGTTTAAACAAGATCCCCAGACATGGATAGACTGCGGCGCTGCATTATTGAAAATCGGCATGAAAGAAAAATCACGGCAGATTATGCAACGGGCATTGCAATCTTTGCCTGTGTCTCAGCGTAAGTATACGTACATTATATTGCTTTAGCTTTCATATGCGTGTGTACACACATGCACGCACATACCCAGAGAGAGAGGGGGGGGGGGAGCGGGGGAGTCCCGAAACTGGCAATAAATATTTTGAAGACAGATTTTTCGTAAGATTTTAAGATGAAAAGACTAATACAAAAAGGTCGTGGCTATGATAGTTATCAAATGAGTTTAAAAATTACACGAATGACAGAATTATTAGAATATCGCGTGGTTTGGAACAGGAACGTGGTTAACGTGAAAGTGCTGAATTTTATTTTTTTTATTGGATGTGTGAAGTTCGGAAAAACATTCTTCGTAATTTTTAAATTGTTTCTATTTGAAAACTATCATAATCTCGACATTTTTGTATTACACTTTTCATCTTAAAATATTACGAAAAGAATCTGTCTATATAAAATATTTACCGTCAATTTTGAGACACCCTACATATACAATTTTCAGTATCATAATTTTATAATTTATATGAATAATAAAACTATAGGCTATATTTGTTTATACAGATGTAAACCTGTTGGTGAGATTTGCAAACTTAGAAAACAAACTAGGAGATAAGGAACGAGCACAAACGTTATTCGAAAACATCCTGAGTTCTTATCCAAAACGCATCGACGTGTGGTCGTGTTATATAGATTGCTTGATAAAATCTAACGACATCGATTTAGCTAGGTATACAAATTCTACCGCTTTATTACAAACGTATCTTGCGATGAATATTTATCATTATGGATATATTCATTTTATGAAATTAATTTTTTTATATTAGTTATTTAATATATGTTTTGCTTGTTTATAGAAAAGTGTTAGAACAGGCGTGCGTTCAAACACTTTCACCAAGGAAAATGAAAATTCTTTTCATGAAATTTATTAATTTTGAGGAAAAATATGGTACGTCCGAGGCTGTAAATCGCGTACGGCAGATGGCTACAGATTATATGGAAAAACATAAGTAATGTTCTTGTTTTATAAATAAATGGCGTTTTATATGTGTATGACAAATAGAATATTTCTTTGTATTCCCAGATAGCAAAATGCTAGCAGTATGCTGGCAGTATGCCAGCAAACTTGATCATGACGTGCAGCAGATATCAAGCTGCTGCTTCCTCATTAAGCTTAGTTTCTAACAGCTTATCCTGCCAACTTAACACAACGATAGAAATAAACAACAAAAATTAATCATTATTTGCTATCACATCGTGACAGCGAAAACGCGGTAAAAATACAACATGATCTGACATAATCAAGTACTGACAGCCTACCGTCACGGTGTGACGGCAGGCTGTGCTCGATTTTTGCTGCGTTTTTGCTGTCAGTACTTAATTATGTCAGATCGTGCAGTGTTTTTACCACCTTTTTGCTGTCATAATATGACAATAAGTGTACCAGATTTTTAACAACATTTTGCTGATTTATAACATGTACACATGTTTTATATCAAGTTTTCATCTATTTTTTGTTAATTTATTTTGCCAGCATGTAATGCTCGAATTCTGCTTTCTTTATTTCGGTAATGTTTGATGAATTTTTACAGAATTTTTGCTAGTGTATTATGATGCAGGTCTGCTCTATTTTTGCTATATTTCTGTTAGCGCTATACTGAAATGGAAAACCGTGTTCGACTGTTGCTCGATTTTTGCCATTATAATAATGTAGTATAAATTAGCAATTCGTGCTTTTGGCAGGTTTGGCTGTCTGGGTTATTGGGCTCATTCAGCAGAAAAGAACGCTACGAGAGCGCTCGCTGTTATTGGTGTATTCTTCTAGATCATCCAATCAGAATTTTAAATCTGGAAGAATATACCAATAACAGCGAGCGCTCTCGTAGCGCTTTTTTCTGCTGAATGCGCCCATTATATTTAATCAGAATCTAGAATTTTTTTTTTTTTGCTTTCTCTTATTACTTTGGTAATTATACAGAATCACTCAAGCAGCTTAAAAATCGATCAAATTAGGCTTATTCGACGCATTTTTGCATGAAACGAAAGAATCTGGCAGAAATAAGCGTCGCTCTGCCCTACGAACCGAGATATTTAATGTTAAAGTTGACGACTATTCAGGTTAGGAAATCTGTCTTACCGACTACATGTAGGGCTACGAGAATGCCATGAAGTAAGAGTAAGGAGACTTAACTAGATAGGATATGGAGAAAAAAGTTGGTCACGAAAAATGTTCCGTGTACTGCCTTGTCCACCGAACGGAATAACTTGCAACATTTCATCACCATATTGAATATTTATATGTGTGCAGTATACTTGCGACTGTGTACACGTATGTGTACACATATACATAATATATATCGAATCGGGATGACAGATATGTTAACCTGTAAAGTCTCGAACTTTAACGCTTAATAACTCTGTTCACAAGGCCGATCCCCGCATTTTTCTTATAGATTCTTTCGTTCTGAGTGAAAACGCGACGAATGAGTATAATTTTATTAAGATTTTAGCAGAGCAAGCTATACTCTACCTTTTAGAAGACAAATACGTGTCTTAAACGTATAAAATTATACTCATTCGTCGCGTTTTCACTCAGAACGAAAGAATCTATAAGAAAAATGCGGG